AGGCCCCCCCCAGTGCCCCCCCGCTGAAAAAATCCTAGCTACGCCACTGCATCAGTGACGTGTTATACGTATGAATGAGATTGGGGACAAACACTGGAAGTGAGCCCAGGGGAATCACACCTCATAGACCCAAGCCGCTCCTTCGTTGCTAACGACGCAGTAACTATTTTTGCTGAGACCTTGGAAGTTAACACAGTAGAACCACATGCTGAAGTGCTATTACAGAACTCTCGTTCCACTACACAAACACGTTCTAAACGCGATCGCGTGACGTTTCGGCGCGCGATCGATGCGTGATTGGGCGAGACAAGCGCGCGGCCGGGTACCTGTGTTGCGGGGAACCAGACCTAGACGAATCGCTGCCACTGCTCGTTCGCTTCACCAGCGGCGACTTCGCCGTGTTCTGAAACGAAGAAGAGACGACGACGACGTCACAGATCGTAGTGCGAGAATCGCTACCTTGTATATAACCTTGAGGTCGTCGCTGAACATGTTACATCACAGGGATTTACAACCGTGCGATTTACTTACAAAATGGTTTCGTAATACAAATAGTTTTTCGAATTTAACATTTTGGTGTATGGCTGTAATAGTCACAATGTATAATAACGAGACACGCAGCAGTAAAACTGGGCTCGCTCTCTCTCTCTCTCTCTCTCTCTCTCTCTCTCTCTCTCTCGTGCGCTCTCTTTCTCTCTCTCTCTCTCTCTCTATCTATCTCTCCCCGCTCTCTCTCTCTCTCTCTATCTCTCCTCTCTCTCCCTCTCCCTCTCCCCGCTCTCTCTCCCTCTCCCCGCTCTCTCTCCCTCTCCCCTCCCCTCTCTATCTCTCTCTCCTGCCATCACGGCGAGGAGTTGTTGCTCACCGGTGACATTTTCCTGAGCGGTGAACCTTGTCGTGAGAGACTCATCCTCGCGTAAATCATCAGTCCGATGTCGCGGTGACCGTTGGCGACGGCGATGGACAGAGCCGAACTACCGTCCTGCAGGGAGTACACAGCGAGATACGAGTTTACATTACCATAATCTAATCAATCACTAATTACTAATAAAGATTTATAAATAAATAAGAACCTAACTATTAACAAACATTACAAAATAAAATGAAAATAAAATGTAACTAATCACTAATAAAAAACGAATAGTAAATAAAATACTAATAGACGCCGCGCGTTTAAGACCGAAAACGTTCTTTCACGTTAAAGAAGAGACGGCTGCATTGACACTTAAATCCTGCAATGTGACGCCACCTACTGGTTAGATGGGGCTGATGACGTTAGATTGGTGGCATGCAGGACACACCTCTTAAATCTATACCCCTCACTGTCCTGTCATGTTATGTGCATTCACAACGATAGACATTCGCGTGAGTTATGAAAAGATTTTACTACTGCACGCCTTGCATCCGCTTCCATACTAATGTTTGTGGGTAATCTCATTAACGTACGTTATCACTGCAGCTCGGATCGCAGTCCGGATGTGCGAGCAGCAGCTTGACGATCTCCATGTGTCCGTGTTCGCTCGCGCACATGAGCGCCGTCGACCCGTCAACGTCCTTGATGTTGACCTCTGCGCCGGCCTCCAGCAGCATGCGCACGAGGTCGAGCCGGCCGTGACTCACCGCAAGCATGAGAGCCGTCTGTCCGTGCTGCAAACAATGATGTAACCATGGTGACGCATCAATCACACAGCACACGCACGCACACACGCGCACGCACGCACACACGCACGCACGCACACAACCAGAAACTAGTAAAACATATAACTAACTACCGTTACTTCAATATCAAACTGCCTTTATTAAGATACACTTGCAAAAAATGTCTAGTAACCCATATAATATGCCATTGCAGCTGCCCTTAGAATCAAATTCCCTACATGTTCACGTTACTAGCTATAACTAGACCGGTAGCATAGCTACACGCGAGTCAGACAACGCTGTCAACTGTATGTAAATAAAAGGTGAAAACACTAATGATAAACATCTTCAGTGAAACATCGTAGTGTACAGACGCACACACAGGCAGGGACGTACCCGCACCACACTGCAGTACACCACCGCGCAGCCCCTGAAATCGTCTGTCACGAGTATTTCTTTATTTCGTGAGCCACAGCTACGGGATGTCACAGCCATGTTAGCTTATTATACACGAGGGTCACGCTAGCTCCTCGTCCTACATTTCTATCGTAAGGTTTTCATCATCTGTGCATAGAGACGGACACACTACACACCTCCACACAGTTGTAGGTGCATTCACGTTCAACCTGCCCAACCATCTAACCATCCACTCACTCACTTACTCACTCACTCTCCCACCCACCCAACTCTCTCACTCAGCCATATTTCATCCAGCCAAACCTACCCATCTCACTCATCCAACCATCCAACCACACTCACATACACGTATGCACGCAGGAATGCATGCACGCACGCACGCACACACACACACACAGGTGGGGCGACAACTTTGGCACATTGTGCACACCGTGTGTGTGTGAAGCAGCGCTCATGCAGCCAGCCGATGTAGGGAGAGCAGACTACCGAACGATGAGTAGACTCTGTTCCACTGCTCAGCATCACCGCGGCAACAGCATCATCACCGTGGCAACAGCATCGTAGCCGCGTGTAGCATCCTCCTCATCCTCCTCACGACTTCTTATGAAAGTTCCCACTGCAGAGAATTGACCAGAAACAAAAGACAGCTGTTAACATGCGGGTTATAATGTAGCTGATATTATTGCATAACCGAAATCGCAATGTTCAGCCAGTGTACAGATGTGTGTGTCCACGAGTCACGTACGATTCTTTAACGGTGTCATCGCTATTGGTTTTTATTACTTGATATAAATACTAATGAGATGTAGTTACAGACAATCAGAAAAAGTATCAACATCATCAGTGCAGGGGCGTAGCTACGGGGGGGAGGGACTGGGGCACGAGCCCCCCAACAAATTTTCTGTGCCCCCCCAGGTGCCCCCCCCACTGAAAACTCATGCTTGATGAAAAAAAATTGAATTAAAACCAATGCCGTTAGAACAGTATAATACAAAGAAAATTTATATATTGTGCCCCCCACGAAAATGAAGGCCCCCCCCCAGTGCCCCCCCCGCGAAAAATCCTAGCTACGCCACTGCATCAGTGACGGTTATACGTATGAATGAGATTGGGGACAAACACTGGAAGTGAGCCCAGGGAATCAACCTCATAGACCCAAGCCGCTCCTTCGTTGCTAACGAGCATAACTATTTTTGCTGAGACTTGGAAAGTAACACAGTAGAACCGCATGCTGAAGTGCTATTAACGAACTCTCCGTTCACTACCAAACACGTTCTAAACGCGATCGCGTGACGTTTTCGGCGCGCGATCGATGCGTGATCGGGCGAGGCAGCGCGCGGCCGCGGTACCTGTGTTCGCGGGAACCAGACCTAGACGAATCGCTGCCACTGCTCGTTCGCTTCACCAGCGGCGACTTCGCGTGTTCTGAAAACGAGAAGAACGAACGAGACGTCACAATCGTAGTGCGAAGAATCCTACATTGTA